GAGGAAGAAGAACAAAAGTGAGCCGAAAAAGTAAAAATTGCGGAAAATGAGTGAGAAAAATTATTGGATAAAAAACACAAAACGCAGGAGGTAATTAGCAGAGTAAAAGGTGGGGAAGGTCTGAAATTTGAAAAGCATTTTCAAAAATATCTGAAAATATCAGTTGCTATGGAACAAGAAAGAAAGCGCTTGGAAAAATTGAAGAAAAGTGTTGAATTTCTTGAAATTGAAGATGAAAACGATTCTAGTATTCCAGATCCTTTCATGAGAATAAATTGATGAGCTGAAATAGTTGATATTGTCTTTGCTGAAAAAATTACTTATCGCTTCATGGAACCCTGGTGATACGTTGACCGACAAAAATTTCTGGAGGCTTTGGAAGATCCATACTTTAAACATCTTGACAAACCCGTGCCCGCAATAATTTCCAACGATATCCCTAAATATGCACAAGCAACTATTAAAGACCTAGTTATCGATATTTTTGACGAGTGAAAGGCTACTAGGAACTTCAGATTTTCTTGATTAGTTGATGTTGAAAACATTTTTTGGCAAAAACAATCCAAAGAGAAGAAGCAATTTTCTTACAGAGGTAATCTTTTTTTTTTCAAATCAACAAACGGTTTAAAAAGCAGAGAAGAGAGGGTAAAAACTTTTGAAATTCCGGAAGTTAATACCAGAGCCATCGATGAAATTAGGACCAACAAAGAGCTTTCATCTTCAGAAAAGAAAATGAAAATTGAGGAAGAATGAGAAAGAATTTACCAAAAAAGATATGAGAAAGATGCGGAATTCCTCAATGAGGAATTACAGGAAGAAAAACTCTTAAAAAAAGAAAGAAAGTGGCTAGATGCAAATGCTCTTCCGGCCAAATGGGTTGATTTATGAAAAGTGGCTTTATTTTTAACAAATGTAATTCCCAAGCAAAACGAGGTAAAAAATATTTTTTACCATGATAATCCTTTTTTAAAAAAGGATGGTCTTTATAATTTGGAAAATATTGTGGATGAAAGCGACTCTGAGGCCCAGGAAGAATTACAAAGTCCTTTTGAAGTTTGATTAATTTGGAAAGAAAATTGCGAAAGGTATTGAAATTTATTTGATTATTTAGACAAAGGAGGTAAATTTTTTTTTAAGAGCAAAAAAACTCGCATCGGAAGCAGTGGCCCAGAAGGACTTTATTATTTTTTTTGAGAAACGTTATACGGCGACGAGACCGAATTACTCGAAGTTTTAAAAAGCAGAAATCCAATAATCATGAAAAAAGACAAAATCATGACTGCATTGGAAACCAAATCTTTTTGAGTATCACGAGGAGAACGTGGTTCTTTCGAAGGAGTTTATCCAGGCATTAAACAAGAAAAACTTGCACGGAAATTAATCTTAGAATTAGAAAAAATTGTGAATAAAGTTTTTGGTGAAGGCTATTTTACTCATAGTTTGTGCTGAATGGAAAGTATATTTGATGGAATTCAGCAACTCAGGTGAAAAAGAGTGTCAAAGGAATTTAAAAAAGTTCAAAACGAAGAATTTTATAAAATACACAGAATTATTTGAGAAAAACACCAAAGCGAGAAAAAATTGAAAATTAGTTTTGAAACACTTACTAAAAAGAGAAAAACGCTTACCGAGGAGTTTTTTTTCTGAAATCCCTTTTCCCATGTAGAAAATCTAATCTCAATTGCCGACCGTGAACAAGAAGATGCTCTGGTAAAATCTAAACAGCTTCAAACTCAACTCGAAAATTTACGCATGAACCAAATTTCGCCAATGCAAAAAAGTTTCTTTAATCTGAATGCTAAAATCGGAAACTGCAAAAGCGAAGTTTCGGCAACCACCTTCCCTGAACCCCAACCCGCACCTGAGGCTATGCCTACTTCTTGGACTACGCTTTTTTGAGTAGGCTTTTTGGCAATAATTTATTTTGGTTGAGATAAATTCTGAACTTGATACGAAAAACCCGTTAAGCAGGAATGAGATTGAGAAGACGAAAAGGAAGATGAATAAAAATAATAGTTAAAAGAGATTAACTGTCGCTTTTTCTTTTCTTGATATGAGAACTATCGCGTAGTCTAAAAAAATAATCACGTTGATAAGGTGCTAGCACTAAAATTTAGCTAAAATAACCATATGAAAAAAGTTATCAAAGTTCTTGAAAATATTGGGTGAGAAAGATGAGTCGCCTTGGGCTGTTTTCTTTTATCCATTTTTCTTAACTTTCTTTATTCGTTATATTCAAAAGTCGACTTATTTAACATTAACTTTGCAAGGAAAAAGAAAAAATTAGAAAATTGAAAAGTGCGTTTTATTTCTGCGAATATTCGTTCTTTCTACATAATTAATTGCCTCGTGCAAACTATTTTTGGGGTATTTATCTCTTCCCCCCTCTCAACTTTTTCCCAGAATTTAATGGAAAAATTATCGGTGACGACCCAGCCAAATCGTTTTCTATTTATTTTTTTTAATCTTTTCCTCAACATTATTATCTCTCTTGTTACTCAAGTAGCTTCTGATTTTGTAGCTGATAAGATGTTTAGCGAAAAAATAATATTTAACAGAACTTTTCTCAATTTTGCTTTTTTTGTCGCCAGATTTCCTACTTTTCTTGGTCTAAAACTATCAGAGAAACCAACTTCAAAGACTAGAAAAGAAATCAAACGTTTCTTTCAAAACTTAAAGAAAGAAAAAGTTTTGCGGGAAATGGAATTCCAATTACTTAAAACTTCTCTTGATTTACGTAACTTAGAAGTCAGGGATTATTTAGTGCCTTGAAAAAAAGTAATCTGTTTGACTACTAACACAACTTGGCCGGAAATCCAAAAAACCTATTCCCAGTACCTTTTTAGTAACTATCCGGTTCTTGATGAAAAAAAAAAAGTAGTGGGTTTGCTTAGTTACAAAATGTTTATGTGAGCGGAAATAACTAAAAAAAATCCTCACTGGAAAGACCATCTTATCGAGGCAATTATGGTTTCACCCCAAGCAACATTAAGCCAGTTATTCAAAAAACTCCAAAAATCCCAGTGTCAAATGGCAATTGTGCAACAAAAGGGAAAAATTATCGGAATTATTACTAAAAAAATTGTTTTGGAAGTGTTGCTAGGAGAGAAATTGGAGAATGAAGAAGATAAATTGCGCTAGTTTTAAGAGCCACTTTTCAATTGTAATTTAGCAATGGTTAGTCAGTTAATTTCCTTCCGCGACAAACTTTTTAACCACTGGTTAATTCGGGAAAACGGAGCGGAGTGAAAAAAGCCGTATTCTGCACTATAAGGCGAAGGATGAGCACTCAGTAGACTATACTGGTCAGAAATTTGACAATTTTCCTTAATTTTTTTGGCTTTTTGCCCCCAAAAAACTCAAACTAGTTGGGGGTTATAGTCACGTAAAAAGCATATTAAGGAGTAAGTGAATTCAGGCCAAAAACCAGCATGAGAAAGTGGTCTGTTTTCTTGCACTGTTAAAGCAGTATTGAGAAGAAAAACTCCTTCTTTGACCCAGGGTAACAAATCGCCTTGGGTTGGCACCGGACAATTGAGGTCATGGCTTAATTCCAAAAAAATATTTTTCAAACTAGCCGGTATATAATTAGGTTTTTGAGTGCTAAAAGCCAAGCCATCGGCCACTTCTGGCAAGTGATAGGGGTCTTGTCCTAAAATTACCACTTTTATTTGAGGGAGAGAAATTTCCCGAAAAAGTCGAAAAATGTTTTCTTTTTTAGGTCAACATTTATAATTTTGATATTCTTGGCTCAATTTTCCCAGCAGAGGAAAAAAATATTCTTTTGTGGCTTCTTTTTGAAAAAAAATGTCTCAGGACTTATCAATCT